CAAAGGGCGAGGAAACAGTCCAAGAGGAAGAGCAAGAGGAAAGGACGGAATCAGAGGCCCGAAGCGGCTCCGAGAAGCCTGCAGCTCAGCGCGGGCTCGTCTGCGGACGCCCTTGCCCCCCCCAGGAAAAACATATCACCCCGAGGCCCGGTGATGTTTTGTGGGGCCGCCATCTCAAAGCCCCACGGCCAGCTTTTGGGTCGAGGAGGAGGAGGGGCAGGAGGACGAGGAGGTGATCAACAGGAACCAGAGGAGCAGGAGCAGCAGGAGGACGAGGAGTTTGAGCAAGGGGTCAAGGACGGAATGATAGGCCAGAAGCGGCTCCGCCATCGTCGTGGTCGTCGTCGTCGTCGTCGTCGTCGTCGTCGTCGTCGTCGTCGTCGTCGTCGTCGTCGTCGTCGTTGTCGTTGTCGTCGCCGTCCATAAGATGGCCCCGAGAGGGCCCTAAGAGGGCCCCAAGAGAGCCCCAAGAGGGCTCCGAGAGGGCCCCAAGAGGGCCCCAGGAGTTGTGCAACAACCCAGCGGCCGCTGGTACATAACTCCTGGGGCCCTCTTGGGGCCCTTTGAGGGCCCTCTTGGAGCCCTCCTGGGCCCCTGGTTGGCCCATGAGAGGGCTCCAAGAGGGCCCTAAGAGGGCCCCAAGAGGGCCCCAAAAGGGCCCCAAGAGGGCCCCAAGAGGGCGCCAAGAGGGCCCCAAGAAGGCCCCAGGAATTATGTACCAATCCAGCGGCCGCTGGTACAGAACTCCTGAACCCTCTTGGGACCCTCTGAGGGCCCTCTCGGAGCCCTCTCGGACCCCTGGTTGGCCCTGTAGGGCCCCAAGAGGGCCCCAAGAGGGCCCCAAGAGGGCCCCAAGAGGGCCCCAAGAGGGCGCCAAGAGGGCGCCAAGAGGGCTCCAAGAAGGCCCCAGGAATTATGTACCAACCCAGCGGCCGGTGGTACAGAACTCCTGGGGCCCTCCTCCTCCTCATCGGCGACGACGACGACGAGGAGGTGTAAACGTACCCTTACCCAGCCCCTGCAGGACCAGGCAGCGATACTTGGACCAAATTTCCTGGCCCCTGTTTCGACCCCAGAGCTCTCGACCCCGTCCAGGAGCTCCCGACCCCAACCCGGAGCTTTCGGCCCCATCCTGGAGCTCTCGACCCGCAGACGACGGCGACGACGACGACCACGACGACGCCTCGAACTGGAGTGGTAAGTTTTGCTGCTGCTTTTCCCCAGGGGTTTGGAGCCCTCGGGGCCCAGGGGGGCCCCGAAACCGATCCGAAGCCTCAAATTTTTCCGGCCCGCGACCGACGACCGGCGACAACGACGACGACGACGACGACGGGCATAAGTTATTTGGCGCCCCCCCTTGGGAGCATCGGGTAACTGGGGGGTGCGCTCCACACCCCCCACTTACCCGGTGTCCCCCAGGGGACATCGGGTAACTCGACCTTGCAGGGGGGGGTGTTAGGCACGGGTTACCCGGTGGCGAGGGGGGGGCATCGGGTAACTCGACTTTGCACGGGGGGGAGTCGGGCATGAGTTACCCGGTGTCCCCTGGGGGACATCGGGTAAGCGGGGGGTGCGCTCCACACACCCCACTTACCCGGTGTCCCCCGAGGGGCGTCGAGTAAGTCGACCTTGCAAGGGGCGCATTCGGCATTATTCAGTAAACCGGTGGACCCCCATGGGACATCGGAGTTACCCGGTGGTCCCCGTGGGACATCGGCCCGTGGGACATCGGAGTTACCCGGTGTCCCCCGGGGGACATCGGGTAACTCGACATTGCAAGGGGGGTCTGGGCATGGTTACCCGGTGGCCTCCCGTGGGACATCGGAGTTACCCGGTGTCCCCCGTGGGACATCGGAGTTACCCGGTGGTCCCCGTGGGACATCGGCCCGTGGGACATCGGAGTTACCCGGTGTCCCCCGTGGGACATCGGAGTTACCCGGTGGTCCCCGTGGGACATCGGCCCGTGGGACATCGGAGTTACCCGGTGTCCCCCGTGGGACATCGGAGTTACCCGGTGGTCCCCGTGGGACATCGGCCCGTGGGACATCGGAGTTACCCGGTGTCCCCCGGGGGACATCGGGTAACTCGACCTTGCAAGGGGGGGTCTGGGCACGATTTACCTGGTGCCCCCCCGTGGGACATCGGAGTTACCCGGTGTCCCCGTGGGACATCGGAGTTACCCGGTGGTCCCCGTGGGACATCGGCCCGTGGGACATCGGAGTTACCCGGTGTCCCCCGTGGGACGTCGGAATTACCCGGTGGTCCCCGTGGGACATCGGCCCGTGGGACATCGGAGTTACCCGGTATCCCCCGTGGGACATCGGAGTTACCCGGTGGTCCCCGTGGGACATCGGCCCATAAGATGGCTCCAAGGGGTCCCTAAGACTGGGCTGGTACATAACTCCTAGGGCCCTGTTGGGGCCCTCTGAGTGCCCTCTTGGAGCCCTCTTGGGCCCCTGGTTGGCCCTAGGAGGGCCCCAAGAAGGCCCCAGGAATTATGTACCAATCCAGCGGCCGCTGGTACATAATTCCTGGGGCCCTCTTGGGGCCCTCTGAGGGCCCTCTTGGAACCCTCTTGGGCCCCTGGTTGGCCCTAAGAGGGCCCCAAGAAGGCCCCAGGAATTATGTACCAACCCAGCGGCCGCTGGTACATCACTCTTGGGGCCCTCTTGGGGCCCTCTGAGGGCCCTCTTGGAGCCCTCTTGGGGCCCGGGTTGGCCCTAAGAGGGCCCCAAGAGGGCCCCAAGAGGGCTCCAAGAGGGCCCCAGGAATTATGTACCAACCCAGCGGCCGCTGGTACATAACTCCTGAACCCTCTTGGGGCCCTCTTGGAGCCCTCTTGGGCCCCTTGTTGGCCCACATGATGGCTCCAAGAAGGCCCTAAGAGGGCCCCCAAACGGGCCCAAGAGGGGCCCAAGAGAGGCCTCAGAAACCGCTAGTAGGTGTCATCGATCAGCGCGTCTGGATGAGACTTCTCAGTGGTCTCTGGGGCGCGTCTTGGAGCCCTCTTGGCGCCCTCTGGAGCCCCCTGGGTGCTCCCAAAAAGGTTCCAAGGGACATCCGAAGGGGTGGAGGGGGAGTTGGACGGGGAGTGGAGGGGGAGGTGGAGGGGGGGCTGAGGTGGGTGGTGGAGGAGGGGGTGGAGGGGGGGTGGGGGGGTTGGTGGAGGGGGAAGGGAGAGGGAGAGGGAGAGGGGTTTGATTAGGAAACTGGAAGAGGTTTGACGACCACGACGACGACGACGACGATGACGACGACGACGATGACGGCGACAACCACGATGACGAGTGGGCGCCTTGGAGTTCTCGTGGGCCGTCTTGGAGGCGCCTTGGGGGCCTTTTGGACCGTCTGGAGGCCGTCGTGGGGCCGTCTTGGAGGCCTCTTGGGCGCTCTTGGGGCCATCTTGGGGGTCTCTTCGGCGGCACTGGGCCGTCGGCAGGCCGAAAACGTTAAAATCCATCAAGAGCCCACGGGAAATCAGCTGTCTTGGCCTCTTCGGGCCTTCCTGCAGGTCCCCTTGGAGGCTTCTTGGACTGCATTAAAAGCCTCTTGGGGGCCTTTGGGGCCGTCCTGGGCCATCTTGGGGCCATCTTGGAACGCCTCGGTTGCATCTTGGGCCGTCTTGGAAACATATTGGGGCCGTCTTGGGCTCTCTTGGAGCGATCCTAGCCGCCTTGGAGGCATCTTGGTGGCCATCTTGGGCCATTTGGGCCGTCTTAGTGGCGATGTGGCCACACCTTCTGGTCCTTCCGAGGGCAGGCGGTCTGGGCCGAAGGCCACTGGGAAGGGTTTGAAAATAAGAAGAGCAGCAAAATGTCTGGCACGCCGTCCACCCCTGTGGCAAGCACAGGGGGCGGCGGATCCAAGACGCCTACGGCGAATCACCGCCGCCCCCAGCCTTTTTGAGAAGCGCCTATGTGGCCAAACGTTGGGCCCCAGCTTGGCCAAGCTATCTGATTATGTATTCCCCCAGCCGCTCCGGAAACTCTTCGGGGAACACTTGGGGGAGGCTGAGGGGGAGGATCAGGAGAGGGAGGAGGAGGGAGGAGGAGGAGGAGGAGGAGGAGGAGGAGGAGGCCTCTTGGGAGCCTCTTTGGGCACTCTTGTGGGGCCTCCTGGAGGCTTCCCGGGGGCCTCTTGGAAGCCTCTTGGGGGCCTCCTTAGGCCTCTTGGGGGCCGTGGGGGCGTCTTGGGGGCCTCTCCTTGGCCGTCTTGAAGCGTTCCTGGCCCGTCTGACGGGTCTGACGCCGTCGGAAGCCATCTTGGGGGCCTCTTTGAACCGATGTGGGGTCCTCTTGAGGCGCTTCAGGGCCGTCTTGGAGGCCATCTTGGGCGTCTTAGAGGCCTCTTGGGGAGGAGGAGGGGGAGGAGGAGGAGGAGGAGGAGGAGGAGGAAGAGGAGGAGGAAGAGGAGGGGGAGGGGGAGGAGCAGGAGGAGGAGGAGGAGGAGGAGGAGGTTGAGGAGGAGGAGGAGGAGGAGGAGGAACAGGAGGAAGAGGAAGAAAAGGACCTGGAAAAGCAGGCGAAGAGGGAGTAGGAAGAGAAATAGGGAGGAGGACCAGGAGAAGGAGGCAGGGGGTAGGAGCGAGGAGACACAGTCGGACAGCGAGAGACAAAGTCGGAGCAACCCCAAACCCCCAGAGTCTGGGGGCGCCCAAGAGTCTGAGCAGCACCTTTTTCAGATGGTGTGGTGTTCGATATATCAAAAGAAATGCCATCAACATAAACTTTTTGCGCTCCGTGCGGATTTCTTGGATCCGCGCTGGGCCCCCCAGTGGCGCCTCCGGCGCCGCTTCCGATGCGCTCCGCGCGCCAGGGAGGGGGGTCAGCGCAGATCCAAGAAATCCGCGCGGAGCGCTAAAAGTTTATATTTATGGGTTTTGTTGTTCTTCTTCTTCTTCTTCTTCTTCTAATATCGACTGCGTGGTGACGCAGCCCGATCCGACGCACACTCCGATGCGATCCGATTTTGCGATTTTTGGTGCTGGCGGTTCTCGAGAGGCTGCTGTCGCTCGGGTCCCCCGTGGACGCGCGGGACTGGAACCGATGGTCGGCGATCTTCTTCGCGATCGCGGGCGGCGCAGGCCGAAGGAGAACAAGCACGACATAGACTTAGCCTTAAGTCGGGCCTGTCCCTCTACAGGAGACATAGCCAACAATAGTCGAAAAATAGTATGGGGACGATTCTTTTGTTTTGACTTTTTTGATTTTTCTATCATTTGAAAGAACAGTTGTCCCCAAAAATCCGCCTGTAGGAGGACATGCCCGACTTTACCATGACCGTGCGGAGGTCAGCGCGGTTTTCTTGGATCGGCGCTGGGCCCGTTCCCTTCCTGGCGCGCGGGGCGCGACAGAGGCAGTGCCAGGGGCACCGCCAGGGGAGCCCAGCGCCGATCCAAGAAGACCGCGCGGAGCTCCGAACGTTTCCGGTCCTGCCGCTGTTCTCTCCCTCCAGCAGGGGCGGTGGTGGACCTGCTCCTCCGCAGGGGCTGCGCCCTCAACGCCCGGGACCGCTGGGGGCGCACGACGCTCAGCTGGGCGTGCGAGAGGGGCGCCGAGGGCATCGTGGGGCAGCTGCTGGCGGCCCGTGCGGCGTGCGGGGAGCGCCTGCAGGCCCGGGCGGCGGACAAGTGGGGCACCGACTGGCGCCCAGAGGCTCGAGGGACGGTGAGAACGGCATGCCCGTGGATCGGCGCGGGGGTGTCAGCTTGGTGCAGGCGGGTTATCGCTGGGCCAACCTGGCTGCCAAGTGGGGATGCGCGTGCCACCAGCCACGTGGGGTGTGAACGGCCTGGGCTTGGTGGGGCCCGCCCACTTCCAGTATTGGGAGCCCAGTGTTTATGCCAGACGGAACTCACCTTGGCGTTCCCTGAGCAACCGCCGCGCCGATCCTGCCGTTTCGGAGGTCCGCGCGGATTTCTTGGATGTGCGCTGGGCCCCGCCCCATACGTGCCCGCGTGGTGGAAAGATCACAGCGGCAGGCTTTTGACATCTTCGGCTTCCAGGGGCCCTCGCCGGAACCCGGGACCGTCAATACACGATCCGGGATGAATAACCCACCCTGGGGAGAGATTCGGGACTTCAGGGGATCGGGTCGGACGAAAGGGGGGGATTGGGAAAGGGGGGGTTACGAAATTTGCTGCATGCAGCTGGTTTCGGCCTCACCGAGGGGCCCATTCCTCGATACATGGCCGCCTCCGGCGCCAGGAGGCGCCAGGAAAATCAGCTACGTGAGCTGATTCTCAACCCCCCCCTTTGCTATCCCCCCCTTTCGGCCGACCCGAGGGGACCTCGTCTGGAACAAATCAAGACATCGGATGTCTGGGGCTGGCGGCGCCGCGCGCTAGGCCTGGCGCCGAGGCAGGAACTCCGCGTGGGCCTCCGAGAGCTTGTGCCCGGACGTTTCTTCTTCCGCCTCCCCCGAGACCCGTCGTCGCGAAGAATTGAGACGTCACGGAACAATCACGACCAAAGTCCCAGACCCCATCCTTCTGCGCCACTCTTCGAGCCGCGTCGAGCTGTGAGGGCCCGGGGGCCCGAAGCCCGGACCATGCGGGGCTTTGTGGGGCAAGGAGCGGCACAGTTGTGAAACGCCCGTTGTGAAGAAATTGCGACGCCAGGATCCCAGAGGTGGAGGGTTTCTCCAAAGGGCTTAGGCGACCCGTCCTCCTCCACCTCCTCCTCCTTTTCCTCCTCCTCCTGCTACTCCTCCTCCTCCCCCCTCCTCCTCCGCCTCCTCCTCCTCCCCTCTTCTCCTGCTCCTCCTCCTCCTCCTCCTCCTCCTCCTCCTCCTCCTCCTCCTCCTCCTCCTCCTCCTCCTCGGGTCGCCTACGGCCCCGGGGGAAACCGTGCGCTCAGAGAAGTTTGTGTGCTTTCTCCGTTTTGTTTGTCTTCCGCCTCCAGAGGTGCACCACGCGTGTGCGCACCCGGCGTGCCTGGCGCTGCTGCTTGGGTCCTCGGGCGGGGCCCGAGCGTTCCGGAACGCTCTCAGTGAACAGGAGGGAAGCGACCCCAGTCCCCACAACAGTGGATTTTACATGCCAGCGTTTTACAAGTATGGCGGATGCGCGTAAGTGGAGGCGCCTTGTAAGCGAGGCCATTGCCAGCTGCCGCAGGAGGTGCCCCGCGCGCGCGGTCTAGTTGGTCAAAAGTTTCTCGCGCGGGGGGCGGGGGTCGTTTTCCATGCGTTCACTCAGAGCGTGCCGCGGCGCCCGATACATCCTCCAGAAGCGCCAGATCTCAGAGATCGCCGATTCATTCCAGAGGCTTGCGCCATTCCGCCGACACCCAGGAGAGGCGGGGTGTCCACGCTTGAGGCGTCGTGGGCTTCTTGGGCAACATCGGGCGACTCTTGTGGGCGTCTCGGGAGCTGCTCGGGGGCCCGGGGGGGCCTCTTGGAGGCAGTACCGAAGCGTCTTCGGGGCCCCCCCGATTTACCCCCTGTCCGATTTTGTCCCCGTCCCCGCTTCCTCTTAGTCGGCGGCGAGCGAGGGTGGGAAGTGAGAAGGAGAAGGCCTTCTCAGAAGGCTCAGAAGTCCCCCCAAGCTTCCGAGAAGGTTCCAGAGCCTCCCCTGGTGACACAAACAAGAAACTTCTGAGAAGGCCGGATGGCTCTTGAGAGGTCCCGCCGCCTTCTGGGAAGGCCTTCTCCTTCTCTCACTTCCCCCCCTCGCTCACCACCGAGTTTGGTTTTTGGCTCACATCTCGGGTCTCCGGCGGCCGTTCGGGACGATCCGGGCACCCCCGGAACGCCTTCGGCGAGGCGCAGCTGCTGGCAAGCCTCCCGAGGCTGGAAAACCGCCGAGACCGCCGAGAACGTCCGAAAAGCCTCGAAGCCCGCACCCGAAACTCCCCGAACCCGAGCCGCCGACATCTACTTCCCCCCCCCTCGCTCGCCGCCGAGAGAGGGGGTCGGGGATCGAGGGTTCGAGGAGCGGAGGGGACGGGGGAGGAGGGCCAGGGATCGAGGAGCGCAGGGGGCGAGCAGCGAGGATCGAGGATCGAGGAGGATCGAGCATCGGGGATCGAGGATAAAGGATCGAGGAGGATCGGGGATCGAGGATCGAGGATCGAGGAGGACCGAGGATCGAGGAGGACCGAGGATCGAGGGGGGGAGACGACATCCATACATGTCCACTTCCCCCCCTGGCTCGCCGCTGACTTAGGTCCCGCGCGTCCCTCGCCAGCGACCTCCGCGGCCGCTCGCCGCTGCACGCTGCGGTCGCGGCCGGTCGCCCGGAGAGCGCGCAGCTGCTGCTGGCCGCGGGGTGCCAGCCCGACGCGGCCGCGGCGGCGCTCGCGCGCGAGGACGGCCGCTTCCCGCTGGTGGCCGGGACGCCGCCGCCGCCAGGCCGGCGCAGCGGTCAGATCATCGAGAATTGAGAAACCCCTGACCCGAAGACCACAGTGAAGCCGCGGCCTCACTGATGTTCCCGTCGTCGCATTAGGGATAATTATAGTTCGCCGCCCACCAGACCACCCCAACCCAGCCCGACGGCCCCAATTTGCACTGCATTCCCAGTGGGGGGGGTGCCATGGAACATTGAAAAAACACATGTGGAGCGCATACCCCCCCAACCCGAAATTCGGGTCTTCGGGTTAGGTTGTGGTGGTCTTGTAGGTAGTCAAGCCTCGAGAATAAAAGGACTTCTAACCCTAATAGCACAGGGAGGACGTGGCCTCACTGAGGTCCCCGTCTCTTTGCATCAGGGACAATGCTTCTGGGCGGTTTGGCTTTATACATCTGCAGAAAGAGCCCCGATCCCTACTCTGGGTTTCTCAATACGCGTGGGGGGTACCCGCCCGACGGGGGTAAGCCTCGCCTCGTCGTCGCGCCGCGACGGGGGTCGGAGCGTCTTCGGCGCGCGGTGGCTACCCGCGATGGGGGTCGATGTGGGGCCGCCGGCGGGGGTGACGCCCTTTCGACGCTTGTTAAGAAACTCGGAGTACTGTTTTTGGGCCCTCCTTACTTAGAGGTCCCCTCCCAAAGGATCAGGGGCTTTTTTTGGTTCATCACCAGGGGAAGACCAGGGGAAGAACAGAGAAGTACCGATGCCGCCGTCCTTCTGCCGTCTTCGCCTCCTGGGGCCTCCGGGGAGGCCCTCGTCGCCACGGCCGTAGTCGCCTCGCCCGGGAGATGCCTGGGAGAGGCCCAGGGCGGCAGCAGTATGGTTGGGTCGGGCACGTCCCTCTACAGGGGGAATATTCGAAAATGGTAGAAACAATTGTCTGGGGACGATCTTCCGACTATTGTTGACCATCTTTGAACATTTATGGTATATCTTTCCTGATTTCTTTGAAGAGCCGCCTGAGGAGGACATGCCCGACCCAAGAGTACGGGTACCTTTTGGCTTCCCGAGGCCCCGGCGGCGCTCCCGACGAGCGGCCGGCGAGAAGGCGTTCGAGGTTGAAGTCGGCGACGCGGAAGCACCGATGGGCACGGCAACGCCATTGGACCCGACGGGATTCCACTTGGAACGAGTGGTGCCGCGGTCGGTTCGAGGTGGAACGATCGCCGCGGTGTCAGAAACCTCTGCGCGCGCCGATGCCGCGCGAGCCTACCTTGGCAGTATCTCGGCGGCGAGCGAGGGGGGGAAGTGAGAGGGAGAAGGCCTTCTCAGAAGGCGGCGGGACTTCTCAGAAGCCCTCGCGGCTTCTGAGAAGTTTTTCCTGTGCCTTCGGGGAAGGCTCATAGAACTTCTCAGAAGGCCGGAAGACTTCCGAGCCTTTGAGAAGGCCTTCTCCTCCTCACTTTCTCCCGCGCTCGCCGCCGGGTATCGGTGCTGTTTGGTTTCCCCAGGCGTCAGCGGCAACGATAGGGGGGGATAGGCATAGGGGGGTCTGTATCGACCCCCAATCGCCCATTGATCGCCGATGGGGGCCCGATAGCCCCAAGCTGCCCAGGAAGGTGCGGATTCACTATCGGGGGCCTATCGGCGATGTATCGCCGATTCCAGGTCGATGCTTCCCCCTGTGCCAGTCCCCCCTATCGTTGTCACTCAAGGCGGCGCTCCCGACGAGCGTCCGCAGGAGGGCACCCTGCTCTTCGGCATCCCGCCCTGGCAGCCGGCGGAGGTGCGGCGGGCTGTGCGCGGCGCTTGCGGCGGCCGCGCCCGCGTGCGGGTCGCGTCCTCCGGCCAGGCGGCCGGGGGCTAACATTAAATCGGGCCTGTCTTTCTACAGGAGGAGTATTCAAAAATAGTCAAACAATGGTCTGGGGACGATTTTCCGAGTGAATGTTGACTATTTTGGGGTATTTTTCGGTATCTTAATTTTCGTCCAAAATCGGCCTGTAGGGGGACATGCCCGACCTAAGGCTAACAACGATACCGATGCCGCTGCCTGGCTCACCGCGGGGCTTTCTCATTGAGGACAAAAAGAATGCCTAACCCTCACGACACGAGGAGGACGTGGCCTCACGGAGGTCCCCGTCTTCGCACTGGGGATGGTACATTTGGGCAGTTTGGTTCGATACATGTGCACAACAAAAAAACCCTGTACCTGATGTTCCAGGACCTCCTAACTTAGGCCCCCTCCAAAAGGGTTAGGGGTCCTTTTGTGCCTAATCACTTGCGGCCACGCGCAGAAGGGGGGCAAGGGGCTTCGTCTTGCCAAGTCCCGCGCAGCCCGGTCCTGCCAAGGCCCGACAAAGGGCGAGAGGGGAAAGTGGGGGGGGGCGGGGTGCGGCCACGCGCAGAGGGGGGGTACGGGGGGAGGGGGGGAAGGCTGGAGGGTTTCTCCGAAGGGCTTAGGCGACCCGTCTTCCTCCTCCTCCTCCTCCTCCTCTTTCTCCTCCTCCTCCTCCTTTTCCTACTCCTCTTCCATCTCCTCCTCCTCCTCCTCTTCCTCCTCATCCTCCTCCATCTCCTCCTCCCCCTCCTCCACCTCCTCCTCCTCTTCCTCCTCGGGTCGCCTGCGGCCCCTGGGGAAACCGTGCAGGTACAGGGGGAGGGGGGGGACGGCTTCTTAGAGGCACCCCTGCCTCTCAGAAGGCGCGGGCCTTGTCTGTAGATGTAGGGCCATCCCCTTCTAAGAAGCAGCATCCTCCGAAGCAGCCTCCCCCCCTCCCCCTGCCCCACTTATGCGCGCAAAAGACAAAAAGCTATACCGATGCCGCTGCTTTCGGGAAGACGTAAGATTCGAGTACGCCAGAATTCGGGTTCGCCGACTCTTTTTGACGAGCCCGCCCTTGATTTTGACGGCCCAGTTTTCGTTGGATGTCTGCAGCGGAAGCTCGCGTCAAGTTTCAGAGCGGGCCTCGTCATTTTCCTGACGGCACCCTCGGGCCAACCCGAGTCTCCCAAACACGAGTCTTGCGTTCTCCCCGATACTTGGATCACCGCGGGGTTTGTTAAGAGACTTTTTTCCCAACCATCCTGTTGTGTTGGGTCCTCGTTTTGAAGAGAAAGCGCCCCTGGTTCCCGCTCCTCCTCCTCCCCCTCCCCCTCCCGTTGCCTCCATTTCGGCGCACCACTCACACGTTTCGTGGCCCCGTAAGGTGCTCTATCGAAGGCCCCAGTGGCAGGGCCCGCATGCAGTTCCAGCCCCATTTCGGCGCGCCCCTCACACGTTTCGTGGCCCCATAGGGTGCTCCGCCGAAGGCCCCAGTGGCATGGTCCGCATGCAGTTCCACCTCCATTTCGGCGCACCCCTCACACGTTTCGTGGCCCCGTAGTGTGCTTTACCGAAGGCCCCAGTGGCAGGGTCCGCATGCAGTTCCACCCCCCCCTTCGGCGTTCCACCCCCATTTCGGCGCACCCCTCACACGTTCCGTGGCCCCATAGGGTGCTCCGCCGAAGGCACCAGCGGCAGGTCCGCATGCAAGTTCACCCCCATTCGGCGCACCCCTCGCACGTTTGGTGGCCCCATAGTGTGATTTAACGAAGGCCCCAGTGGTAGGGTCCGCGTGCAGTTCCACCCCCATGTCGGCGCACCCCTCAGACGTTCCGTGGCCCCATAGCCACCGAAGGCCCTAGTGGCAGCGCCCGCAAGCAGTTCCACCCTTCATTTCGGCGCACTCTTTACATATTGCGTGGCCGCATAGGGAGCTCCGCCAAATGTCACAGTGGCAGCGCCCGCATGGTGTTCACCCTGTATTTCTGCGCACCCCTCAGACGTTTCGTGGCCTCACATGGGACTCCATCGACGGCTCCTGTGGCAGCGTCCGCATGGCGTACCCGTGCCAATTTTGGCACACCAGTCACGCGCGTCGTGGCCCCAGAGAGAGGTTCACCGAGGACGATACCCACAACTGCGTTACTCACAACTGCACATGGTTGGGTCTTTTGCCAGGATAGTTTCAGGGTGCGGCGGTAACCCAAGGTTATCGGGCACGCCCGCCCTTCTCTTCTCCTCCGGATGACCGGACTTTGTCGGTTGCGCAAGTCGGAATGGTTAATTCAGTAGGTCTTGGTGAGCGCGGGCATGTGTGGGGCTTCGGTTAGCGGCCATCATCTCCCAGTCTCCCCACCGGATAACCCAGGATATCGCCGACTTTTCAAACATTGTCTCTAATGGGATAGGGGGGTTCTAAGTGCACGCTAAGGTGGGTTAGGTTTGGCCTACGTAACCTATTTGATATACGGGTTTTGAACGGTTTACGTGGGTTTGGGGAGTGAGTGTCTGGGTTAAGTGGGCGTAGCCCACTTAGCGGAGTTACCTTATCCCTTAGCATCGGGCACTTGCAACCCACTTGCAAGTTAGATTAGGCCAGATATAACCTGCCCTAGCATCCACTCATCAGCGCCCCTACCCCCTTAGCACCGCCCCTGGTGATTCATGTACCTCTCCCTCGTCGCCACGGCCCAGACCCCCTCGCGTCGTGAAAGACACGACGGGAGGTTTTGGGCGACTCTCTGCCTCTCAGGGCCCTCGCTGGGCCCCAGGACCCTCAAAAATGGCTCGGGATGAAAAACAGGTCCCTGAGAAGGATTCCAGACTTCTGGGGGTCTAGTAGACCCCCAGAGGTCTAGTAGACCCCGAGAGGTTTAAAGCGGTCGACGCGAAACCAGTGTTGAAATCGGGGTGCATCGCACTTGCGGCTAATCGTAGATGACATCGCTATTTTCAGCATTTGCACCGCACCCCTTTATACCCTTTGCGACCTCCAAATCTACGTTGCGAAAGACAATCGCGTCACCAGGGGTCTGCGGCGAGATTCGCTTCGAAATCCTGGTCCGAGCGCGTCACAGGAGAAGTCAGAGGAGCAGTGGCTTTGGTATCGTCCTACTCCAAACCTCGAGATCCGAAGCCGCGAGAGAATAGCAACCTGGTCAAAAAGCACGGCTGAAGCCCTACCCATTGTTCATGTTTGATTTTTCGAA